CTGGGTGGCTCAGTTGGTTAAATGACCAACTTCGGCTCAAGTCATGATCTCACAGTTCGTGGGTTCAAGACCCGAGTCAGGCTCTGTGCTGACAGCTTGGAGCCTGGACCCTGCTTCAGATTCTGTGTCTCCCTCTCTCTCTACCCCCTCCCCAGATCATGCTCTGTCTGTCTGTCTGTCTCTCTCTCTCTCTCTCTCTCAAAAATAAACATTAAATAATAATAATAATAATTTAAAGAAGATCCTTTAGATGGGATGTTAACTACAGCCTTGGTTTATCAATTGCTAGAGTTCAGGAGAAGGACTTAACATCATTTCTAAATAGCAAACTACCATGAAGGATGCTGGTTCTGGTGAGAGCACCTCCAAAGAAGCATTTGAACCTCTACTCCCAGGACGCGTTCTTGAACTTGAGGCTGGTTTTGAAATCCCATCTAAGTTTCCCTTTATAATATCCATTGATATCCTGAAACAAACAAAAAATTAAAGCAAGTTATATCTTATATGTATAAATGTTTCATTAGTGCTAATGCGCAATTAACTCAGAACCTTTGTTAATAAGGATTACGTTGCTACCAAAGTCACACTACCCTAATTTCATCAAAAGGTGTCTGTGGCCACAGGTTTTATGTTACTATAGGTGAAAAGCATTCTACCCAGGATGTTGGACAAAAGAATACAGACTGCTATCTCAATGGCTTCCTGTGTCTCAGAAAGAAACATTTACTTTGTCCTTGGCCTGAGAAGATACTCAGGGAGCACCATGCCTCTCAACCTAGATTCACGCTTCATCGTAATGATTCGATAAAACCTCAACTTTTTTCTGGTTTTGCCTATCTTATTTTACTAGCGCTTCCTGTTCTAGCTCACCTTTCAGCCTAGGTTTTCCCCTCGGCTCTGATTTCTCCTCTCCCCTTTGGTGCCACAATTTTATGGAGTACCTATCTCCAGGTCACTGCTCTTTTCCTATCAATCCTCCACTTTTAAAACCCATGATTCTACCTCGCCCTCGGAAACAAGAGAAAAAAACCTACTTTCTCTGACAGAGGACAGACACTTATTATCTGGCCACACACATTGCCAATTTCTATTTTTTGTGTGACACCATCCACAGGCTTGTCATCACTGTGGCTCCCTATTCCCAGTGCTGTTTTCTGAAGCAGGAATTATTAGGCAGGGTGGCTTAAACTAGTAGGAGAACAAGGGCATTGCAGGCACACTGATCCTTCCAAACTGTGCATTTGATCAGGACCGTTTCAGATTTGCTCAGTAATGGTGGGGTATCATGCATGCTGAGAAATGGAAGAAATAGAGAGAATTCCAGATTCTGGCTTGTCATACTTAACTTTACACGTAAACAGATCTTCCAACAATCCTTCCGTAAATTGCACAATTTCACTAACCTTCTAATTATGAATTAAACCATTTCTCTCATAACAGAAAGAGGAAAGGCAATTGGGCCTCTGGCCCAAGCAAGTGTAACAATGTCCTCTTTGTACCCTACAAAATAATTCATCTCTCTTTCTTTCTTTGAACAGCAGAGGAAGAGTCCAGGGAAGTCTTGGACACAGGAGGAAGCACAAACAGAAACAACCTGATGTTCCTCCAAAGCACACAGAGGGATAATATGATTTGGCCTCCAGCCATTCAGTGTGCCAAAGCTGACGCTTAAGGGATCAGCAGGTCAACTCTTTCCATCTTAGCAAATGAAAAAGGCATTGATCTCCACATTATTCAAACTCTGCAAAAGGATTTGGGCTCACTCAGGAAGGCGCTGACATTATTATTGTGGGATGACGGATCACCCTGGCCCATCACGTCACAATCAAAAAGCATAAGTCACCAAAAGGCCAAATGCCTTGTAAATGCCATAAGCAGCCTGTCAAGGGAGACTTATTGTAGCTTACAGAGGGAGCAATGAGATGGAAGCATTTGCAGAGCCAGGATAATACCTGTCAGGAAGGGGAATAGAAGCACAGGGAACCGTCAATGACATGGATCAGCGACAAGGCTCCAGAAACCTTGCAGTTTGCTTTAGTAAGAGGTTTGTTCTATTATGTTTGCTCCAGAAAATAATAAATTAAACAAAATACAGTTCCCAGGATGGGTGGGTATATAACTGAACAATCTTAGGACTTCGCCCGTGTAGAAAAACGTAGTGGAGGAGGGGCGTTGCATTAGGATCTTAAAGATGTGCTTGAGTGTTAAAGAAGAAAGCACAGTAGCCCCATAGAAACTCCACAAGAAAAATAAAGCGTTGTCAGAGAAAGTAATCAAACGATAAATACTTATTACAGAAGCACTAAATGTTGATTTAACCAAATACTGTGCCTTACCTATATTGAGTGTATGTAGGGAGGAATATGCAAAAGGAGAGGAAGTCTAAAATATCTAATCTGTCATGATAGGAAATCAAAGAGAACGTCCAAAAACTGACAAAGCCAAGCAATCGTCAAATAAACATAATATTTACAAGTTCATAATGGTTGCTTCTGGAGAGTAAGACTAGGAATTGCTTCTCTTTTCTTCCTTTGTAAATGTCATAGCAGAGTTTGCCATTTTTTACTATACCACTTTAATAAAAGTAAAAATTGATTTTTTAAATAAAAAATAAATGTAAAATAAGAAATCCCCAAGGGAGTAGAAGGAAACATAAAGATAATTCATGTAATAATAAGTTAATGACTTATTAAACATAAGAATGTAAATCAAAAAGGAAGAGACTAGGGGCGCCTGGGTGGCGCAGTCGGTTAAGCGTCCGACTTCAGCCAGGTCATGATCTCGCGGTCCGTGAGTTCGAGCCCCGCGTCGGGCTCTGGGCTGATGGCTCAGAGCCTGGAGCCTGATTCCGATTCTGTGTCTCCCTCTCTCTCTGCCCCTCCCCCATTCATGCTCTGTCTCTCTCTGTCCCAAAAATAAACGTTGAAAAAAAAATTTTTTTTAAAAAAAGGAAGAGACTAATAGTTTTGATTACATAACATTTAATGCTCTTGAATGGAAAACAAACTAAAAAGAACTCTAAAGTAAATTAAAAAGCACCAGAGAAACTGGGGAAATTATATGCAACACAGATAATACACAAAAGGTTAATGAATTTACATACTTAAAGAACTCTTACCAATCAGTAAGAAAAAGAAATATTTTAATAAAAAACTAGTTAAGGACATAAACAAGGAATTAAGGAAAGAAAGAAAGAAAGAAAGAAAGAAAGAAAGAAAGAAAGAAAGAAAGAAAGAAAGAGAAACGGAGGAAGAAAGAAAGAAAGAAGAAGGAAGGAAGAAAGAGGGAGGAAGGAAGGAAAGAGAGGAGAGAGATGTCCGATTCTCTAATTAAAGGAATATACAGAAAAGGACCTGATAGATGATCACAAGTCAAGGACTGAACAGAGGTGTGTTCTTATGGATTCGCGGATTCATGGATGTTCTTGGTCTTTTATTTTACCTTTGGCTTATCTGTATTTTCAGATTCTCTACTAAGTAGATCTTGAATTCATAATTATTTATTGTAGGAAAATTTCTAGAACATATTAAAGTGTATTCAAAAATAAATAAAAATCACCCAATATTCACCACTCTGAGTTAACATCATTAGCATATTTCTTTTCCATTTTTCCTCTATATGTTTCCACCAAAATTGGACTCATGTTTCTCACTTAACATCATAAGATGAGCATTTTCTTACTGCATTAAAGATATTTCAAAAATAAAATATGATTCACTT